GTGCCAGGCACTATGCTAAGTGCTTTACAAATATCTCATTTGAACATCATCTTTTAATAATGGTCTTTCTGGATGAGATTTTCCTTTATGGGGGCTGCCACATTGACTATGTCCAAACCACACTGGCACATATAACACACATTAAACTTTTGCTAAAGCTTTTAAAAACTAGTCAGCAATGTTTTCAGCTTTGAAACATTTCTCCAAGGAGATGCTGCATAGTTATAAGGAATGCAATATGCACACACACACACACACACACACACACACACACACACACACACACACAGAGTAGCTAAGCATCACTTTAACTTCAAGAAGCAATTATAGTCTTCCTTCCTCACTTTAACAACTGTACGAACACCTTCCCATCACTATTGTTTATGAAATTACTTCTTCATTAATGATGCATCTTAACACATTGCACAGTACAGTGAGTATAGTAAGGTCAGACTTCATGGTTGTTCACTTGTGGTCAACACCCAATTTTGGGTTTTCTTGGCAAAGATATTGGAGTGGTTTGAAATTTCCAGTTTATTTTACAGATGGGGAAATGGAGGCAAACAGTATGAAATGATTTGCCCAGAGTCACACAGCCAGTAAGTGTCTGAGACCAGATTTGAATTCATGTCCTCCTAACTCTAGGCCTGGCACTCTATCCACTGCTCCACTTTGCTACCTAATTCCACAGACTAATTCCACACAAAGTCACAGCTCTTTGAAATACTTAAAAACCCCTCCATGTTTTCACAATTAAGACAGCTCTTGTTCAAATACTTAATACAATCCAGAATACTGCAGGACTTCCTCTGATCTTATACCACTGTAAAACTTGGGGGGGGGGCATCTGTTATTTTCTCTTACTGCATGACCAGCCTTTTTTTTTTCCTGATCATACGTGTCCTTTATATCTTTTATAAGAAACACTCTTTATGAACAAATCCTTCACCATAATGGCTTCTTCAAGCCCTTTTCATCCCTTCTCTTGACTCCCACAGCTCACTCTTCCCCTTCCCTTGACTGAAAACCTGGCCTCATATTTCATTAAAAAAAATTAAGATCATTTTCAGATATCTCCCTCTTATCACTGTTAGAATTGACCTGTTGCTAGGCTAGCTAGGCTTTAGCTGACAAAAGTGACTCCATGTTTAACCACTGATTTACTCATCTATGTATTAGGAAGTTCCTATATACCCAATACTATTTGAATCAGCCACATTTAGGTAAGGAATGAAAAGCTGTAGTGATCATATTCAATTTAGCAAACTTCACCCAATCAGGTATGGAAGGTTAACAATTGTTTTCCTAATCACAATGCCCTAGTGTTTGATAAGGAGGCAATCACAAACCAGGCTACTCACTGACTGACTACCCATAAGGTCTCCCACTCACTAATTCCTTGTGAATTTCCCCAGCAATAACAATCAGATTCAAGAACAGAGACCCAGAAATTTGGCTTCTCCATCAGGGTATGTGTCCCACTGTATACTCAAGCCACTATTTGTGCACCTATGTGGCTGGGGAGCAGCATGCTTGCATCCCTGTGAGTAATAAACCATTTCACTTGTGATTCTTTAAGCAATTATGTCCCTTCTCAGTAACATATCATGATCTTCTCACACTCTCCTATTCCTTATCTCACATTGGGTGGGATACCTTATGCTGCTATCTTTTCCTTCACTCCTTTCTCACATGAAAAGGCAGGCCTTCTATTTGCCAAGGCAAACTCCTCTACATACACAAGAGATTAAATTTCCTCACATCTTCTCTAGCAGATTGCCCTATTACACCTACTCTCTGACCAATATTCAATCATTCCTTGACTAGTGGCTGTTTCCCATAGACATGCCCATTTCTTTTTTTTTTAAATTAATTTATTTTGAATTATCAACACTCACTTCCATAAGCTTTTTAGTTTTAAATTTTTCTCCCCCTCCCTCCACACCTCCCTCTCCAAAACAGTGCACAATCTGATATAGGCTATCCGTATACATTCCTATTAAACACATTTCTACATTAGTGATATTGTAAATAAGAATTAGAATCAATAGGAGGAACCACCAGAAAGAGGAAACAAAACACAACAGAAGGAAAAAAAATAGCAAATAGAATGCTTTGATCTGCACTCAAACTTATTTCTTCTTTGTGGATAGCATTTTCTAATCACTAGGCCTTTGGAGAAGATATGCCCATTTATCCCCTTCTTCAAAACATCCTCACTTGATTCCTCCATCCCTTCTAGCTATATTTCCTCTCTCTCTTTTGTGGCCACACTCCTTAAAATATTGTCTAAGATGAGTGCATTCTCTTCCATTCCTTTCTAGCTTCTTACTTTTTACGGTTTGACTTTCAACTTCATCATTTCACTGAAACTCTCTCTCTCTAAAGTTACTGATGGTCCCTTAAATTTCTAAATCCAAGGACCTTTTCTCAGTTCTCATCCTTCTTGACATCTCTGCAGCCTTTGAATACTGATGACCACCCTCTTCTCTTTTCTAGTTTCTAGGTTTTTGTGACACTAATCTCTTCAATTTCTCCTTTTAGCTATGTGGCCATTCCCTCTCTGTCTTCTTTGCTAGACCTTTATTAACATCATACCTGCTAATGAGGTACAGAAAAAGGAGGAATCTCCTCATGAATTCAATGAAGAAAAGAAATTATAGTAGAGAAAACATGCATTTGATAATATAAAAATATATTTTGCACCTAAAAAGCAGTGCACCCAACAGAAAAGGGAACAAAAATATTGGGAAAACATTTTATTATACATTTAAATGAAGTGTGATACTGGAAATCTATACATGACAAGTTTATGAGTAGGATTCATCCTGCAAAAGACAGTTGATATTAATCTGTAATTCTTAAAGGACATAAATTTTCATTTTTGGCAATTGGGGCTAAGTGACTTGCTCAGGGTCACACAGTGTCAAGTGTTTGGTCTGAGGTCAGATTTGAACTCAGTTCTCCTGACTTCAGGGCTGGTGCTCTATCCATTGCACCACCCAGCTGTCCCCAAGGACATAAATTTTCAAAAACTACCTGAAGATTGTTCAGCACTCTTTAATAATAGTAGAATTCAACATTAAAATACCTCTGAGGTATTTATTATATTGATTAAATTAGTAAGTGATGTTAAAATAGATAAAATTCAATATTGGAAATACTACAGAGCAATGGGCAGACTATTGTTTTAATTGTAGATTTGTAAATTTGTGCTTCCATTTTGAAAAGCAATGTTTAATTCAATGCAAAACTGTTTATGATGCACCTACTTTGTGCAAGTTACTGACAAATGGTGATATGCAGTAAGAGTTACAAAATTATTCAGATCTTTGGCCTAGGAATCTAATTACTAGCACAGTATTCTAAGAATATTATAGAAAGGAAAAAGGCAGATTTATTTGTATAAAATATCTGTAGGATTTTTATTGTGTTATTAAACAGCTGGCAGCAAGCAATATGCACAATGATCAGAGAATGACGAATAAATAATATTATATGAACATAATAGTTTTGTATACGATAGAGTAACAAATAGGAAGAATCCAAAGAAATAAAGAAATACTGAAGAAATCCAGAGGGAAGAAAGGACAGTCCAAACAGTCATTTACACATTGTCAAAACTCTGTAAAATAATAAAAAACTATCAATAACAGCCACAATCCATAAAAATGACAGAAAAAGAAAAGAGAAGGGAAGAGGACACTGAAGAAAACAAAACTATTTTTGTTACTCTTTTGTTAAAATCAATATATATGCAAAAGCAGAAGGCTGGCCTCAAAGTCAAAATCTGGCTTCAAGGCTAGAACCTGACACATGCTGGCAGTGTTCCCTTGGTAAAGTCACTCAACCTCTCAGAGCTCTAGGCAATTATCAGTGGCAGAGAAGATGCTGACCTGCCCCAGTAGTGGACATTTTCTTTCTAGGAATTTACTATAACAATGAAATAAAAGTTTCATATTGACAAATGGAAAAAATAAGAATTTGCAATTTCTGGTTTTAAACTGTATAACTTGTTTTACTTGAATATTTTAAATATTTATTTTTGGTGACAAATAGTATACTCTTTTTAAAAATCAAGTAAGCAATAAAAAGTAAATGGGAACACAGGCTACTACATAACAGTAGAAATGTGTACCCAGATGAATGGAGGTGGCAATTCTGCTGAACTTATCACTTCTTTATCATTTGCTTAAATCTTGAAGTCCGCATTTTAAGAAGGATATTCTAGTCTGTTGCCTCATCATAGCATTGAAGTGATCTCGCTATTGTTTGACTAAGTTAGTAAAGCATAAACTCTGGTATATTGCAGAAGCTTGAAATATTTTGAGTATGGTCCTAGAAGCAAATGGAGTGCTGTCCAAGAATCATCTTAAAAAATATTATGAAGATGCTCACCTTCAACAGATTGGCTATAAGTGAATGAATCCATTGGCCATCATAATTGCCTTGGCTAGTTAGAAAATTATAGCCTCAGTGAAGGATTTGAAAATTACATGATGACAACAAAAGTTTGGAAAGACCTCTCCCTTTTCTCATTTGGCTCTTGGCTTCCCTGGCTAAGTTAGATGTCTAACTTAACGAAGGGAAGAGTATTCAATCAATAATGGCCCCTTATATGGAAGAATGATACTTATTCAGAATAGATTCTAAAGGCAAAACTCAAAACAAGTGAAAGATTCACGAGGGCATATAAGGAATATTACAAGGATTAAAGTGTCCCAAAATGGAATTAGCCATGCAGGGAAGGTGTGAGATATTTTTCACTTTTTAGGAAGAGTACAGGGGATCTCTGACCTAGGATTATGTGATCATTCTGTTTTTTTTTTGCCTTGCAAGGCAATTGGGTTAAGTGATTTGCCCAGGGTCACACAGCTAGTGAGTATCATGTATCTGAGGCCATATTTGAACTCAGGTCCTCCTGACTCCAGGGCTGGTGCTCTATCCACTGCACCATCTAGCTGCCCTGACCCAGGATTATGTGGAGGAGGACTTCTGTATCAGCTTGTCTTAAATGACGTTAAGTCTCTTTCCAAATCTAAAATTGACTGTCTTGTGGATTTCATTCTGTATAAAGCATCTCTCAAGGCCTTTTTGACTTGCTTATTTCGTAGTGTATAAATGAAAGGATTCAGCAAAGGGGTGATCACAGTGTTCATAAGTGCTGCCTCTTTGTTGGCTTCTAGTCTGTCAGACTGCTTTGGTTTCACATATATAAAAACACAACTTCCATATGTCAGAAAAAGGACAATGAGGTGGGAAGAACAGGTGGAAAAGGCTTTCTGTCTCTCTTTGGCAGATGGGAGATTAATTATCGTAGTTATTATATTGATGTATGATATGACTGTTATGGTGAGGGAAGATAGGATGATAACTATGGAAAGAAGAAAGGTTAATGATTCAGTAGTACTGGTATCAGAACATGAAAGATGCACCAGATGACCTAAGTCACAGAAGAAATGGTTGATGACATTAAGGCCACAGAAAGATAATCGAGAAACCATTAGGATTAGGCCAATGATTAATATGAAACCCAAAGCATAGCAGGATAAAACTAAGAGGAAACAGATCCTCATGTTCATGATACTGTGGTAATGCAGAGGGTTACAGATTGCCATATACCTATCCAGGGACATCACAGCCAAAAGGAAGAAGCATGTTGACCCCAAAAACAGAAAGAAAAAGCTTTGGGTGAGGCAGGCAGCAAAGGAAATTGTTTGCATTCCTGAAAGGAAGATTGCTAGCAATTTGGGTATAACAGTAGTTATAAAGCAGCTTTCCAAGAAGGAGAAATTGCTTAGGAAAAAATACATGGGTGTTTGGAGGCAGCGATCAGCCCATGTGATAGTGACAATGACAATGCTTCCCATGATGGACACTAAGTACAAAAGCAAGTGGACCACGAAGAGGGGTTTCCCCAGGTGTTGGGCAGCAGGAAATCCTTCCAGGATAAATTCTTGGACATTTGTGAAATTACCTATTTTCATCATGTGCTCTGCAGGACCTATAATGGATAAAAGATCATTGTTGAAGAGATATTGTGGAAGGGAAGGGAGGCAATCTTATGCTTATATGCTATATGCAAAGAGAAACACGAAAGGCGGCACTTTGTCCAAATGAAAAGGAATTCTTCCTGATTGAGTGGAAAAATGGAACTTTAATCCTGCAAATTTTCTAGTCAGTTGCTTGAGTTTGAAAATGGACTCAACAAGTCTTTTTCTTAGTTTGTTTTTGATAGGCGATGGGGTTAAGTGACTTGCCCAAGGTCACACAGCTAGTAAGTGTCAAGTGTCTGGTCTGAGACCAGATTTGAACTTAGGTCTTCCTGACTCCAGGGCCAGTACTCTGTCCACTGTGCCACCTAGTTGGCCCTCAACGATTCTTTAAGCTATCTATATACATTCAATCAGCATGTATTTTAAACGTGTGAAATTGTTGGCCTGTTTCAAATTGAGTTAATTAACATGGGATTAACTCAGAAGGTAAAAGGAGTAAAACCTAGTCTGCAATTTTAGTTTCTATTATCCATCTAACATAACAAAAATTAAACCATTGCCTGGTATTTTTCAAGCAATAGCTTACATTTCCATAGCACATTATCGTTTAAATTCCTTTTGAAAAGGTCCTCACCAGAGACACATAAAATAATGAGGTAGTAGTATTCCCATTTTGTAGGTGAGAAGGCTCAGCTTCAGAGAGATCAAGTGATTTGCTCAGAGTCATAAAGGGATCAGAGCCTTGCCTTGAATCCCAGTCTTCTGATATAAAACCCAGTGCCTTTTTCTTAAATCACATTATTATATTTCTTTTATTTCAGTAATTAATATTCTATCCTTAAGGAAAGCTTTTTTTGGTTATAAAACAATCTCTGACCCAAATAAGTTTATACTAATGTTAAAAACATAAACATATTTAACCAAAATAATAATAAATCCTTCCAGAAAATAGTCAATGGAGTATCAATTTCACCTTATTTTATACTTAGTTTTATTAGTTGAGAGGCAGTATGATGTAATGCAGACAGGGCTGACCTCAAACTCAGGAAGACCTGGAATTAGATTCTATCTTTGACATATCTGGGGCTGTGTGGCTGTGAGTAAGCCACTTAAAACTCTCAGTGCCCTGGAGGGTGTCAAACCCATAGCTACTGGTTGCAGGCTGCCCACAACTCTCCTGAGTATGGCAGAAGCAAGATTAAAATGCAGTTCCTCTCTGATTTTAATGTACTAATGTATCAATTAAAAAAGCAATAGATAAACATACATGGTTTTCTAAGTCCATATATGGCCCATGGGGTGCCTTGTGTATGATTTAGCAGACCCCTTTCTATTTGAGTTTCACACCACTACTCTAGACAGTTCTCCAAAACTCTAAGTCTCAAAGAAGGTGCTGACGTATATAAGTAGATGAAATTTCCTCATCTGGGAGCTCCCTGTACTGGTGAAATCACATATGTAGTCCCTATCCACTTATTACTTGCTATTTATTATGATAGGAACTGGAATCTAACAATCTTCTAGAACCAAGGGTTACTTTTATTCCAAGATGAAGCATTAGAATAAATCTTTTGTGGAAAGAAACACAGAATAATAATAGTAAATCAGAAGTCTATAGTATTGAATATGCCTTTGTGAATTACTTGATGGGGCTACATCATGCAAAATAATGCAGCAGTGTGTCACAGTGGATAGAGTATTGGGTCTGAAGTCAAGAAGACTCCTCTTCCTGAGTTCAAATCAGGCCTCAGACACTTACTAGCTGTGTGACCCTAGGCAAGTCATTTAACCATTATTTCCTCATTTGTAAAATGAATTAGAGAAGGAAATGGCAAATGACTCCAGTAACTCTGCCAGAGAAACCCCAAATGGGATCATGAAGCATCAGACATGATTGAAATGACTGAACAACAACATGCAAAATAACTATCAAATCCATCCACATTTCTGGCCCCTGCTCTGCTTTGTCAATGAAGACCTTGCTTGAAAGGGGTGCTGGAGTCTAAATAGTGAAGTCAAACTGAATTAGAAATTAAGCCTATGAAACCATACAAAAGGAATGCTGACCAAATATTGGCTTAGAAAACCACGTGTTAACAGTATCTGTGGTCTATTGTATTTTTATTTATTTCGTTAAATATTTCCCAATTACTTTTCAATCTGGTTCAGGCTGCAGTGGTCCCCAGCCAGAGTTTGGCATCTGTAGTCTATATCGCCATAAAGGTGGAGCCATTATATAAGCAAGCAGATTGAGGAGAGATACTCACACATCTGGGTTTGCAGGACCCAAAAGTTAGAATCTTGGGGTCCTCCTGTTTTTTTTTTATCTTCTATCTAGACTGGGGTAAAAGGAAAAAAGAGGAAACACTTGCATTTCTGATATCCCCGTGTTATGAGAGGAAGATTTTCAAGAGATTGTTTTAATAGACAGGAATAACAAGGCCTGTTTTTGTTTTCACTTCTCTTCTCCCCCACTTCCCAATTCCCAAAGTTTTAAAACAATGCTCAAAACATATATGACCACAGGATTTTAGCCGCATGCACACTTTGATTCTTGAAATCCAAAGACAGATTAATTGAACAATTCTTTTTGTTGAAACTTTAGTAAGAAGGCCTGACTCCCTTCCCTCATATCTTGAAGGTTCTCCTTTCCCACCCCTTAGGGTAATACATCCTGTGAAATAAGGAGAGCTTGAGTGCTGAGTACCTATCTAAAGGAGAGCAGAGTGCCCTCAGCTATATTTTCTTTTTCCTTTACGTATATTTTCTAGGACTCATACCTCCGTAATTGCAGTCTTCAATTTCATACCTGATTTTCCAGAATTAGGCTCTCACACCATTCAAAGTTCAGTGGTAAGGACTATTTTTGTTTGGTGGTCCAGAGCATCTATGATATGTTTCTCACTAGATTCTTTATTATGGCCATGCAGAAAGCACCAAGACCAACAGGCAGATCTTTGACACACCCAGAAGTCATTAGGATTGGCAAGGACAAAACACTGAAGAACCCAAAGCCTGGGAGGATTCTCTTGAGTTAGTTAGTAGAGATTCCCTTTAGGAAGCTAATTGGTCACTTTTGAAAATCTGAAAGTACAGCATTAAGATGGTACTTATTTTTTCACTGTTTTTATTTTTTTTTAAATTTTGCTCACATTACAACATGTTTCCTTGTCAATCTTACAAAATGGAATAGATATTTTATAAACCAAATCAAAGAAAGGAACCAATAATAAATGTGTAACTTTAGGTATCTCTGCATAAATAAAGTATGGGTAATACATTATATGACCTGGATATCTTAATCAAGGAGGCAAGTTTGATCTCATCAGTTTTCCCAAGACTTTGGTTATGGGACTTAGGACTGCAATATGACTCCACAGGGATTCTTATCTTTTTTTGTGTGTCATGGGTCCCTTTGGCAGTATGTGTCATCTTATAGACTTCTTTCTCAGAGAACTATTTTAAGCATGTAAAAATAAAACATATAGAATCATAAGGGAGACCACTTATGATGGAATCAGTGTATTTAAATACTAAAAAAAGAAAGAAGAAAAATAACCCCAAGTTTAGGGAGCCTAAGTTAAGAATCCTTATTCTAGAATGATATAGTTTATTCAAATTGAGCATTAATATATTATATATAATATATTTGTGGTTTTCTATGGCAGAAATTTTGCTCTCCAAAAAGTATCAGAAGCAAGACTTGGACTATACATTTTAGAACTCTTTCCTACCTATTAGGTGGTAGGCGTAAAGTAACTCCTCTTTGTATATGTGATATATAAGAAGGAGAGGAAAGTGGGAAATAATTTTATATTCACCACAAAATTTGGGGAAAGCAGATTTCAAAACAGAGATAGGATGAATAAAATCCCATGGCCTAAAAGGCTATAGAGAAAAGAAGCTTAGGGGTATGACAAACTCTCATGACTCTGTTATTTTTTTTCTTTCTTAAATGTCTTTATTGACATGTTTTTTAAAATAACACCATGGTTTTCCTTTCTATCCCTTGCCTCCCTCTTTCCTTCCACAGAACCATTTAATATAGCAATTTAAAGAATAAAGAAGAAAAAAAATCAGAATAATTGGTAAATACATTGAAAAAGTCTAAAAATATATGCAATGTGCATCATTTCCACCTCTCCAAAGGGCTTGTGGGGAATGTCTTCTCGTATCTTTTATTTTGATCCATTCACATTTGATATAAATCTTCAAGGAGGACCAGCCCCTCTGGTGTGAGGGCCTGGCAAGCCCTTTTCAGGGCTACTTATCCACCTTTGGTGTCTACTTGGTACTCAGCTGTCATCTGTGGCTCCAAGAAGCTATAGAATGTGCAGCAGAAATCATCTTGGCAGATGGGCTAAACCAAATTGAGGGTTACTGATGGGCCTTAAACCTCATGGTGAGTTAGAGGGCTCTCTACCTCAAACCTGTGAAAACTTCCCCTTGTGGAATGGGAGGATGAAAACAGTTTGTTCCAACAGCAATGAAAGTGGCTGAAGCAGGTGCTGTGAGATGATTAGACCTTAGTCAAACATTGACAACACTAAGGTCATCCACCGCACCTCAGGCCATTGTCAGTTGTCTTGACTTTTGAGTTGCCATTAGACTTTGATGATGCTGGAAGAGAGAGTGAAACTGACGACTTTGTGCAACTCCCCCTCACTTAAATCCAATTCATGCAGGAGCCAAGATATCACCTTGTGATGTCATTGGTCCTCTTTGAAAAATGGAAAACCACCACCACCGCCACCATCACCACCAACAACTCTGCAATATTCACTTTTGATTTTGTGTGTGTGTGTGTGTGTGTGTATGTGTGTGTACGTGCATGTGTATGGTTGTTCTTTCTGTTAAATTATAGTCATTGTATATATTGTTTTCTAGGCTCTGCTTATTTCCATCTGCATCAGTTCATGGAGATCTTTTCTTGCTTCTCTGTATTTATCACATTTACTATTTTTTTCAAATACATAATAGCAGAGTAATATTCCATTGCATTTGTGTAC